GGTTAAATCCATGCCTGTAGTTGCCAGGGGCAGTAGGAAGATCATGCAGCCCAGAATCCTGTGCCTATAGAATGACAATTCTCTGTAGAACATTTTCCTGATGGAGAAACTGGGACGACCATCTCAACTGGTTGTTCTGGCTACATCAGTTTTCAGTCTTCTAGTGAAGCTGCCTTAACTTTTGCACTCAAATGGCTTTTCTGTTAATAAAAAGAAGCCCAAAAGGAACACCTGATTGGAAAACCATATGCCATGAGTAAGTGTTGCTATAAGATAGGATAAATAGCTTTTCTAAAAGTTAAAGTAAAACCACACTCAGTGCAGAGTAAGAACTTGTGTTCTCAGATGATTTGGTTTTTATGCACTAGAGAAACAAGCCTTCTTTTTTCTTTCTATATACTGCACTGAGAAGTTCACGTTTCTCAAAAAGCATCTGTTCTGCAGCACTGATATAGTACTTACTTGTGATGGCAGCACATTTTCAGTAATCCTGCTATTGACTCTGTATCTCAAATACTGTGCTTTTCTAGTTGCCCTGTGTTTTGTCCCAAAATCCTTCAAGAATAAATGACAGCAATAGTTTGTATGTAGAGAAGAACCAAGATCCAGGAAGGGCAGCTGCTGCACACTGAGATGTAGGAATTAAGTGTGTGAGATAGAAGAATGAGATCCGAACTCATGACTTGTGCCCAAAAGAGAAATTGCCATCACCTAGGTGAACATCAGGGGAGGTTATTCATGTTGCTCAGCATTAGGCGTTACTCGAGGACTCTGGCATTCCCTGTAGAAGGCTCTGGTAAAGGTCATGATGCAGGGATCAGATCAAAAATCTGTGTCATACCCTCTCAGCCCACCCCATCCGGTTTCCAACAGAGGCTGTTAATGGATGGCCAGGGAAGGAGTGTAAGGATGGGAGAGGCATGTTTGGGATCTTACCAGCTTAGGTACGTGAAAAAGACAAAACACCATGAAAGCTTCTCTGGGTGTAAGAACTCGATAATGAATTTCTTCTCATGTGAGACCAACCGAGCCAGCAGGCCTGTGTCCAGGAAAGCGTGTGTGTGTCTATGGGTTTTGGAGGAGGTCATCTGTGGGCTGAGGCGTGGGCAATAATAGTGCGTATGTGTGCAGTGTGTGGCATCTGTGTTCAGATGCACTTGCCTGGTGTTTTCTTATATGACTGTTCTTCGAATTCTGCTGAAAGGGGTTTGTGGGTAATAGTAATTTCAACAAAAATCATTGTTAAAATAGTTTATAAAATCATTAGTGAACATAAACCGAGTCTTGAGCAATGTCCCAGGATGCAGTTTACTGTGTTTACATATGAAGTCATCTTGTAGACTGTTAAAATTTAGAAAAAGTAAAATTCATGTCTGCTGTCTTCGTGGTTTTTACTACGCAGCCTCCACCGAGAAAAAAATTGACCTTGAAGCTATCAAGGAAAAGGTAAAGAATGCAAAGAAGAAGAAATTGGGAGCACTTCCTGTGGAAGAAGTCAAGTTAAAAATCGCAGCAGATGAAAAGAAAAAGAAGAAAAAGAAGTAGTTCACCACCTGATACGCTTACTTTTCTCCTACGTCAACAACTGTTTTCGCGCTTGGACGATTTGGGACCTTTTGCTGTCAGTATAACGTGGGCACGGAATGACAAGGTAGGAAGACGTTCTCTCTTCATAGGCTCACATTACCTACGGGACCTGAAGCAGCTGTGCAGAATTGCCAAGGTTGGTGAAGAACATGTGCGCTGCTGTGTTGTTTGAGAAAGTAAGAGAGTGTATTTGAGTAATACCCATCTGCCTAAAGGGGAGGTTTCGTAGTGGAAACATTTAGGAGCTTAATGCAGGATGTGAAACATTTGGGTCAGAGAACTCGGTGGGAGTTTAAGGTAATTCTGTGAAAGACTTCCAGACTATACGCAGCCTCAGTTACGGTGATAACTTCTGCAAAACATGCAAGATTTATTACTGTATTATGCTTTTGCTTCTGTAAAAGCTGATTAATTTTGAGTGTCTTGTCTTGGTGTTAATAAACTATTTTAATACATTGTTCTTAAATCTTTTTATCAGTCATCTGCTGCACAGCTTACATGTTGTTTTCCAGGAAACAAGCTCACAGCTTCATGTGAGAATTAGACAAACCATAATCTTCCTTGAATGCTGTTAATAAGCTGTCATTTATTAGTATTATCCTGGAGGCTGTTAGACAGAATGTGGTAGAGAGAACGTGCTGCAGGGAAAGCATAAACTCTTGTTATCTTTCTTTAAATATATTCTTGATTTATTTATCTTTAAATATATCCTCAGTTTATTTCTTGCTTGCAAGAAAGTCTAAGAATTGTGTTCTTATTTTTTTTTCCTTTGAGTCCCTTCCCCTTTTTTAAAGGAAGTTTAGAGGATTTTAGTTTCCTGAAAATGCAAATTGAGATAAAACAAAGTTCACCCTAAAAGCAACATCTGCTCGTTTCATGCTTCTGAGATTAAAGAAGCAAATGTAATGATGAGGAGGTGGTTTATCCACACCAATTTCATGACTGTTGGTTTGGGAATTCTGATCACCTGCACAGGCAGTGGAAATCATTATCCTGGAATATTGCAACTCGCTGCTTTCAGTTTAGTGACCTTTTATTTGAAACTCGTAAGTGAAAACACAGCCATTTCCCTATTTGCATACATGGATAAGAACTTAGAATATATGTGGTGAAAGAGCCAGTATGTGTGTGTTGAGAAACGGCTCAGATGCTTGCCCTTGAGGCTAGGAGGTGACATGAGCCCTGGTGTGCCTTTCAGTTGTGTGGTCACTTAAGAGGAGATGCAGTACTCGTTCAGCTTTCACTTCTTGGCTTTCAGGCTTTTTTGTTTGAAAGATCCCATGTTGTACAGTTTGGGGGTGGTTTTTCCCTAAGCCCCAGTGATTTACCCTTTTTTTAATGAAGGTTTTTCCACAGCATTCCCTTAGAGCTGCTGAGGTATATAGTTAAATGACAGCACCATGAATGTTTTGAACTTTAAGAGCTCTCTATTCATTCTGTTTACTCTCCTGGAGACCAAGCGTAGATTAAACTAAGCAGGGGAGAATTCCTTCTGAGCTCATTTTTGCTCCCTGGACACAGCAGTGTGTGCTCTTCCCTCTCCTCCATTTCTCTTTGCAGCAGTAGGATCCAGTTGCCCGTGCAGACGCTCTCCCAGGCTCTGTGCTGGTGTGGGAGCCAGGTGCAAGAGCGCGTGCACGGGGCGAGGCCTGCTGCCCACGTGCTGCCTGCCATCCTTACGGGATTTTCAGCAGGGGCTTTGCAGCACATGAAGCCCCAGGCTTGGGTCTTGCATGGAAGAGAGCAGCAAAAAGGCAAGTGGGGAGGAAAACAGCTGTACATTTTAATAGATAGACCCACGGCCTTACTTTTGCAACGGGGATATTTTTTTTTGAACACCCTAATCTGGCTAGTTTGGAAGACAGAGCGGAGCTTGGCTCTCTCACACATGGTCCAGCATGTGTACTGGGGCCCTGGTCGCTGAAGCGTGGAAAAGAGACTGCTCATCTCCCACCTGTGACTGTGGCCTCTTGACCTCGGAGGCTTTGGCAGCCAACAAACTGAATGTAAAGATACATCAAGGGCAAAGTTGGGAATTCTGTCCCCTGCCATATTTGCATTTTGAAAAATGATTTAATGAGGAAACGCTGTGATGCTGATTCCAGTGCAAGCAGTTAACAACCTGGAAGAATAAGTTGAGAAACTTTGGATCCCAGTTTCAGTGTTTTCAGTGAAGATCCACACCAGCGGTGGGGTTGGGAGTGGGTGTGGTGAAACACTGACAGGTACTGCAGGGGCAGTACCCCGGAAACTAAGTGGCGACCGGCTTCTGTCACAGCGGTGTGTGTCGGTGTTCTGCAGAGGGTCATGGTCCAGAGACAGCTAAACCTGCCTCCGAATAGGTGTGGGTCGCTGCAGCCGGGCTGTGAGCTTGTGCAGCTCTGCTCCTTCCAGCCCCCGCTTGCGCAGAGCGACTGTGGTCAGCAGGAGCTGTGCCCAGCTGAGCATGGCAGTGGTCACCGCTGCGTTCAGCCTGCTCCGGGTGTGTGGGTTGCGGGAGACTCATCCCTTGGCAGCTGGTGAACCCAAGGCATAACCACGGGCACGACGTGATTTATGTGGAGGTTTATGCCGTCTGCCGGCGTCGTGTTTCTCAGCACTGTGTGTGGGTTGGACCTGAATGCGGAGATGTTTTGTGCACCAGCAGTTGAGCTTTAGGTCATGTTGCTAATACACGGTTGCCATACATGGGAAGCAGGAAATAATGATTTATTGTTTAAAACAGCAGCGAAAAACTCTATGCTCAGAAAAAAGAGGGAAAAACCCACAGGAAAGATGGCAGCGACACATGATCATGTGTGTATCCCGGAGAAGCTATGTCTTGGCACAGATGGTGTGTGTTTAAAACCAAACTGGAAGCAAATAGAAGTACTAGTGGCCCCAGTTGCGCTGCGTGACTGGGAAACGCGCTGCCTGCCACAGGATGCAAATGCCAGCCCTCACAGGGGTCCAAAAATTCTTTAAAAAGAACTTTTAAATGAAAAACCTCTCCCGGCTACTCTGCATCTTGCTGTACGAATGTCCAAGGAAAACGTTCGGTGGGTGCTCTGCCTGCAGCCTCGGCTGGGGCTGGGGACAGGCTCCGGGGCTGGGCACCCTCCAGGCCTTCCTAAGCAAGCGTGGCTGGAAGCTCCTGGGCAGCGTGCTCCCCTACCCACCGGATTCTGCTCACACCGCTCCACTTTCAAAAAACGCACGGGCAATTTAAAACCAGTTACGGGTTCTGGTTCCTCTCGTTCTGCAATGAGAAAGTGGCTTACCAGCTCTCCCAGCTGCTGCCTGAAATGGAGCTGGGATTTGTGAATCACCTGTGGATGCAAACAATGTTTCTACTGGTCTCTGCGCTGCCAGTAACTCGTGTGCAGGGAAGGGGTGGGTTGACCTAAGTACTCCCCTGGTCTTCTGCCTGTGTGTCACTCACTGGCGGGTGCTATAGACCAGTATTTTGGTAGGAGCCAGGTGGCCAGAATTGTCAGTATAAGGAGTAACGGCCTCAAAACAATAACGGTGATGCAGTACTCGTCACATGCAGGTCTGTCCCAATCTGGACGCCACTTGGAATCACCTATGAACAGAAAAAGTTACTTGTTTTCAAGTATAACTGCACCAAGGGCAGCAAATGGAAGCAGTGATTTTGGTGGTACTTACTAATGACTTTGTCACGCTCTGCGTTTTCTGGTGAGAGAAAAGAAGTGAACGTCAGCAGACTTACCCATTATAGACAACCTGAGTCTAGCAAACGGGAGCGAAGTGTGAGCCTCGTCATGGGCTCACAAATGCAGCTACGGGAGCTGCGTTTCTTTCCAGGAAGAAGCAAGACCTGCTGGCTCTGGGGGAGCCCCCCAGCATCTCTTGGGGCTTTGCTGAGGAGCACTTGATCCCACTGTTGCCTTCTCCCCCCATCAGTGGCTGGCATAGAGAGTTCTCACCCTCCTAGGTGGGCTTCACAAGATCCCTTTGGGCTTTGCCTTGTGTTTAGGATCCTCAGCCTGTAGCTAACATTTAACAGTCCCATGCATCTCCCTCTCCCTCCTGAGGTGCTGGTGTTTTAACACCACATTCCCGCTCCGTTAATTCTCCCAGGGTTGGGTACTAGGGAATAGTTTGATCAAATCCGCAGCTCCCCTTGGGGAGATGTCCCCAGCACAGCGCCTTGTCCTTTCTACAGGAATTGCAGAAGGTCTTCTCCCCTCCTGACTCCATCCAGCCTTTGCAAATCCAAGTGCAGGAGGATTGGGTGGGCCGCAGGGACTCAGGCTGAGCACCACATCCGCATGAAGGGCTCGTGCGTGCCAGCCTGGTTCCCTCCCCATGCTTAGGGAAAGCAGATGGCCTGGCTGATGTTCACTGGAGCGAGTCGCTTTGGCAGTGCCGCGGCAACTCTCCCCTCCCACGGCAGCATGGCAGGGGCAGGGCTTGCTTGGACCTGCACCCGCTCAAGCCACAGCTCACGCATTGAGTGATATCCTGGAGTCCCTGGGGAGGGGACATGTAGCCCATTCTGTGCTTCCCGCATCTGCAAGCAGTAACTTCTGGCATGGGTAACAACACCTAACACTGCAGCCACTACATCTCCTGTATTGTACCCTCCAGTACCCGAAGAGCAGACCCCATCCCATCACTCCCTGAGGCAGGAAACAGGCTCTTTCCTCCCTCCTCCCCTCTCTTTCTGCATCACTGCTCACTTGGCTTCTGACTCCAAGTGTTTCAGGCTATATTTAGGAACAGGAGGGCACCGTGCATGCCTCCTGCCATTATCTTTCGTGTGCTCCTTCCCTTTCACCGTGTGCGTGGGGAGGAGGGCTGGTTGGCTTCTACTTACGACACAGCTGGCCTGCACACCGCTCGCCGTTGCAGTCGCTGCACGCCGCTCCCGACCTGTACGGGCGCATGGGGTAATTCCCACTGTGAAGGAAAGGAGCACTGCTCTCAAACCCCCTGGGCACTTGGCTCGGAATTGCTTGCCCACCCCTGATATGGCACCAAACGCAGCTCTGTTCTTCGCTTTGCTTGGATCATGGCCGAGGCGACATTTACAGCATGCCTCAAACTGCCCATGAGCACACGGGGTGGGATGTTATATGCGTGCAGTCTCAGCTGGGCTAAATTTCATGGTAAAAGCTCATTACATTAATCAAGGTGAGGCTTTCATTGCTTGGTCTAAGCTGAAGAAAATCCTTTGGAGTGTATTCGCTGTAGGAATTGAAATAGTGCATGCATCTTGCTTTGGGCCTTGGCAGAGTGTAAAACAGTTAAGGATTAGATAAATAAGTCTCTGCTTCTCAAAAGCAACAGCTGGACGTGATACCACCCCACTTCTTAGTATGCAACAGCCTGTTTGCAGTGTGCTCACCCAGCGGGGAAAGGCACAGCTTTAAAGCCCTCTCTGGAGCCCCTCACCTCCTCAGAGACCACCCTGCCTGCTCTGCTGGGTGCTGTTGGGTTAGGGCACCGCTTCTCTACCCCATGGGGTCCCTGCCAACACAGGGCAAGCAATCCAGCATGATTTTGGTCCTCTGCATGATACATATCCTGGCTAAAAGGCAGAAGGAGGAAGGCTTAGCTCATGTTTTTTGGAGATCCAGGTGTGAGGCTCAAGGGACAGAGAAAACCTCTTGGCAGCGCTAGGGGCCTGCTTGCCTGTGCACAGGGTTTCTGCCCCATCTGGCATGGTGGGGTGCATAGTAAGGGCTGAGAAGGGAAAGGAGAGGCTACCCTGGGTGATCAGTGGCTTTTGGCTCAAGCAGTGGTCCCTCAGCCTGTTTGGGTGCGGGGCTTCTGGTGGGAGCGGTTTTGTTGCTTTGGCACAGCAGCAGCTGTGTCATTTCAAGGTATCTGGTCAAGGATACATATCCTTCAAGGATGAAGCATGGACAGCTGAAATGGCAAACTTGCTCAAGCTTATGGGCTGGCATGGCCTTGGCCCAACATGGTACTCATGTATAGCTTTTAAAGCTGTTTAAAGTGTGGTGTCATTAATTAGCTGGAGAAGGGTAAAAACCCATCCATCCCAGGTGCAACACATATCCTAGTGACAATGCATATGAAAGACGTCCAGATAAACTTTTGCCTTGAGAAGCCCCAGCCTCACAAGCAGCCCTCAGCCCCAGGCTCTCAAGTTAAAGCTAAGACTGCAGCTGCAAGCATTGCACACTTTAATATTTACCCAAAGCATTGACCTAGAGGCTTAATTCTTCAGGCACATCTGTAAATATTTTCAGACTTCAGGCTTGTACCTTGGCAACCGTCTGGGGCTGTCTTGGCACTTGGGAGCAAGGGATTAGTTTTCAAATGATCATAGAATCACAGAATGGTTTGTGTTGGAAGGGACCTTAAAGACCATCTAGTTCCAACCCCACTGCCAAGGGCAGGGACACCTTCCACTAGATCACTTCAGTATTTTCATTTCAGTATCTTAAAATTTACCGTTTTGCCAGTGCCTGTACATAGCCCTCACCTAGCCAAAAAAAGCTGGTTGCACAGAGGTGTCTCCTTCTCTGTTTTGGGGTCTGTTTCCTTCCACAAAACACAGGAACAGACAGACTGATCTAATAAAGTTGTGCGCTGTGGAAGGGAAGGGGCAGGACCCCAAACCCTGTAAAATATTTGTAATGAAAAACCTTACGCAGGTCCGTAGTTGCAGATGAAGTGTGCTGCGTTGGTTATGGAGGAGTGAGCCACGCTGGGGCAGAAGTGGACAGCACAGCCAACCTTGTAGCTTGTAGCCCAAACAATCTGCAAAGACAGATGCGTACACCGGTGACAAAGGCCTTGCTTCAGCATCTGAAGCGTTACGGAGAAGACCAGCCCTACACTGTTTCACAACAATGAATTGGCTGAGGAGCACTCCTTGGGCAGGCTTCATGGGGAAGGCAGCAGTGATGGATATCAGAATTACAGTGTGCTCGGAAAAAAGCCCGATTGTTTTGCCCAATTCACCAGGCATTTAGTAAAACAACACGGAAAGAAAGAATAACTGGCTGTAACAGGTAGTTTTCCTCTTTTGCAAAGGAGAAGGTGGAGTTCGCCTCCTTTGCTTCATGGCAATCCATTAGCTTTCCTACAGCTCCTACCAGGGCTGATTGGCGCCGTACTAAATCCAGTGGAAAAGTGTAGGCAAATTCCCAGATGGCACTGGTGTTACAGGAGGACCAGGGAGAATGAGCATGCCCAGGCTGTGGTCCTGCCTTCTAGCATCACTGCCATGACTAAGATAATCTGGAGATGAGGGCATTACATCATCTAATGATCTTCTGCCTACTACAAGCTGTTCAGCCTGACCCAGCATCCTATATCCAGCTCAAAGACTACAGTGCAGCCAAATGCTGCAGTCCTGGAAAAATAAACCCCGTGACAGAAGCAGAGGGGGGGTGGTACCCGAGTGTGATATGAGAGCAGCGATAAGTGACTACATGAGAGATGTGGGGAGATCCTGGCAGCACAGAAGATGAAGAAACACACTCTTGCCTCTGCCAACTCCAAGGGGAGGCCTGGCCCTTTCCGTTTGGGCCTGTTTGGTGCTCTGGGAAGAGGGGACACTCCTCAGCCTGCTGAGGGTGTTCTCAGTGCAGCAGCAGAGCAGAGACTGCTCCCCACACCAGCCATAGGCAGCTTCATCCCAGAGGATGGTGAGGGGCTGAACCACAGGGCCCTCCCCATCCCGGGCAGCCACCAGCTGAGGCACATGCTGGGGATGTGGTTGTGGTAGCTGTGGTAACTGCACCCAGGGGGGAAACTCCTCCCCAGCTGGGAAGCAGGCAGAGGAACAAGGGGTTCCCCAAAGGTGCAGCCACAAGGATGCCTCCCAAAGCTGGGCAGACACACAGCTTCTACCTACGCTATCACCGCTGACTCCAGGTGAGAATAATCTTATTTTCTTATTCTCCTGCATGCAGTTGTCCGGGCTGCTCCTTTACAAACAACATGGTAAACAGCACTGTGCTTTAGTGCCAGGTGAGATGCTGTTTCTGGATGCTGACTCTTGCCTAAAGCAACGCGTGCTCACCTCTCATGGCATATGCATCCAAATACCTTCTCTGCAAGCAAGTACCTGCATGTGTCATTCAGACGCCCCCACCAGCTTCAGCTCATCCCTTCCAGTCCTACATGCATACGTTTATCTCTGCAGAAAATATTAAGTAGTATCAGGTCAAGAGCTAATCCCTAGCTCCACTGTTGCCAGCCGTCCTGCCCTCCCATGTGGTTAGATCTTCGGGAATCGTAGCAGGGAAAAATGTGCAAGTGATGCTTGCATAGCTGCAGACATCTCTTTACATGCTGGCGCTTCCCCAGCCCTTGGCATGCATAGGGTGTCTGCCAGAGCCGGGACCTTGTCCCACCATGCGCTGCCACCTGCTGCCATTGCCGTTGTCTGGGTTTTGGCCACTGAATGGCTAAATCTGACTGCTGGCTGTCCTGTTTTCTTCCTGGAAACAAAATACAGCTGGCATGTTTACAATAATAATGCAGTGACTCTTTTCCTCCCTAAAATGGGGACATGAGAACACCTTGTGCATGCCAACGTAAAATAAGACAAGAGCACTTGGAAAACAGTTCATCAAATCTTCAACAGAAATCTAGAGTTTCTGCATCAAAATGGCAATGCTGGTTCACGGTGTAAGCGGAGAAATGCAACACCTACCTGTGTATAGTGGCCACATACTTTTCTGCACTGATTGGTGTCATAATTGTAGGCTTTGACCTCGTTGTACCAAGAGGTGATGGCTTTTTGCACTGTAAAAGCAGAAAGGGAGCCAGTCCAGAGGTTTTCTCCAACGGTGGTAAATTTGGGGTGAGCCTGCCCCGGAACTTTGAGGTATGTATTATGTTTAAACAGGCATTTCTTTGCCCAAGCTTTTGCGGTCTTTGCCAAATCTGGATCCCAAGTCTGCAAAGTAAAGACAACTAAAAATCACTTTGGAATCTTAGCAATGCAGTGATTCAGAGTGACTTCTAGGAGAAGCTAGGTCTCAGTAGCGTGTATGCTTTGGGTTCATTTGTGGGTTTTTTCTTCTGCTGAGACGTACAGAGCTGCGTAGTAAATTGGCTTGTAGGTTCATTTCTGATTTGAACTTAAGTTACTCATTAAACTGGAGGAAGTTTTTGGGGTGTTGGGTGATGTTGGCTGGCTGGTTTGTTGGGCACCAAGAGCTGTGTGTCAGTCAAATACAGTGTTTGGGGTGCAGCGTGCATTTCTGGGCTAAGCCAGCCATCAGTGAACGTTAATGTAATGTGAACAGTGAATTTACAGGAAATCTGGAGCCCTGGGGGTATGCCTACCGCACCAGTCAGACTGGAGTCTCGTGCAGCCTCATGCATTAAGGCCACTGCTTGCAGGTCAGTTCATAAGCACACTGGGATTTTGGGGATAGTTTAAACTCAACGCTTTGGTTTACATCTTTGTGTTTGGTGGCTTCAAATGTTAGTGCTGAATTCATATTTGTGGAATCACTCATTCACTTGCTATTCAGTCCTACAGAAAGTGGTTATTTAAGCAACTGAGTTACATAAATGTCTTTTGTTTGCACTGGAGGTGGTGCCTGGTTTTGCTAGGTTTTCTTGTGCACACAACTTGATTGAGCAAATTCAATATTGTACCTCCTGGAAAATGCAGTACCACAAGTGTATGCCTGCAGTTCTAGTTACACTTTCTGTCATGTAAATGAAGTTGTTGAGCACTGCTGGACTATTTTGGATTGGACTTTTAAAAAAATTAAATATTTTTTAATTTTATTAATTATTTGTTTGTCCATTTTTGTATGGATTAAAATATCTCAGTTGCTTCTGCAAACGATAGAATCACTACAGAAATTGTTTTGAATGGATCAGTAACAGTGACTAAGGACAAAGTTGTTGTTAGATTTTATGGTTATGTTTTATATAACGTTTTTGTACCATAGGTAAGTCTGAAACAATTTTTTTATTGTTTATGCTACCAATAAGTAATTAAAAATGGCAAGATCATACCAAAATACATCTACAGAGATTTGAAAATATTTTGTAACCTGTGTCTTCTGTTTCTTCCTATGGCTAACATTTGGGAGGGGGTGTATTTTCCCACAAACAAACACATAAATGATTCGCCTAGGAACTCAGTGATTGAAAATGTAATGTAAACTTGGGTCGAGGGGTCTTATTTCAACTGAGCAGTTATTTCCTTAGATGATAACTTTTAAGGACAATGAACAAAATCTGGCACTGTACCGAAGTTATCTTCCAGTCCTAACTTCACTCCAAGTTAAACAAGACAGAGGCTGCAGTTTACATCTTGGCAGTGCTCTGAGGTGTGCTGGGTTCAGCCAGG